TAAAATGATATCTGAAGGATCAGTCCATGCTGCCCAGATAAAAGCACTCATCTGGGAATAACTTATGACAGTCCCTGTTGTTGAAATTTTTACACCAGAGGTTTTTGCGGATGAGGGATTCATTGTCTGGGCTGTTCCCACGACAAATGCTTCAAAATGTAACAAAGAAGGTCTTTGTTTTGGGAATGTGAACTAGCTTATTTGTCTATTTGTTTCCATTACTTGTGGGTCCTTGTTTTAGTCATTTTTAAACATCTATCATATGTTTTTTTTATTATCCAACATGTTTCTCTGGTTAGTAAATGTCTAATGCCGTTTCCCTCTTCTGAATAATGCAGTGTCGATTACAGAATTGTCCTGACTCTTTATGCACAGACTCTCTTTTCCAAGACCAACCAGACTGCCGTCTATATTTTAAAATGGATTCAAAATCCTTTTTGAAAGGATCTTGGCGCTTCCCAGGACTGAGCGTGACAAACATGACTACTGTATCCTGTGACTCATCACAATGACAGCTCGCATTCTTCTAAGCAGGTACTATATTCCTGTGTTCACCCCCAACACAAGAAGTTCCAAAGTGACAAATAAATAAAGTAATGTTTAACACCTTCAGGTTTTCTCTTGATTATGAGGACAGGCTACTACCGCTGCTGGGCTGTTCTTTCGCCGTTTCCATGACAACATCCATGCGATGTTTCACGTTGTTCATTTCTTTCAGATATCATCCAGTCAGAACTGACTCACTCATTTAGACAGAGATTGGCTCTGAGTGAGACATTCCATGTTTAGCCCTCTGAACCATGTCCATTATATTACCTCAACACCTTTCCTTATGTTTTCTTTGAAGATTTCATTGTCTCAAAGTCCGACCCTATTACAAATCAGCATGACCTCATAAAGCTTAGATGGCAGTTGGTAGTGATGACCAAATGAAGCTTCATAAACCATTTGCTCTATTTTCTGACACCACTAGATGGCGCTCTCTATTTTTTTAAAAAAGAGCTCAATGCATGCCCTAAAGCAAACCCTCCATTCATCCATTTTCCAACCCGCTTATCCTTCTGGGTCGCGGGGCTAAAGCGAACCAAGAGCACCAGAAAATACAGCAAATGGTTCGTGAAGCTTCATTTGGCCATCGCTAGTGATTGGCTTTTACAGAGGAGAATATCCTTTTGGGAAGGCAGTTAGTGCTCAACAGCTTAAGGCATCATGTAGAATAAATAACTAACATAGACTCATAACCCAACAGCTGCTATTTGAGAAATCTCCAAAGTGGTAATACTGTTGTACCCTAGGAGTTGAGTTATTCCAGTAAGTGGTATATATGTAAGCAAAAATATACGGTGTCTTCAGTATTCAGGCCTCTCAAACTTTTCCAAACACTGTTGTACAGTAGACATTTAAAAATGGAGTGAAATTATTATTTTTTCCATCAATTGAATGTAAAAACATGTTCAGGAATTTTTTGCAAATTTATTTAAAGTAACTGAAGTCTTCTGTCTGCATAAGTATTCAGACTCTGTATTTAGCACATTGTAGTACCACATTTAACGATGATTACCGCTGTGAGTATCCTTGGGCACGCTTTGTACGGCTGGATTTCTCCCATTCTTCTCTGCAGATCCTCACAAGCTCTGTCAGATTGGCTGGAGAGTGTCAGTGAACTGGCATCTTAAGGTCTTTGCTCAGACTGTTTAATGGGGTTCAATTCTGCCACTATAATGCTTCCCTGTAAGGATGCTATTAGCCAGGGGATGAACTGTCCCTGGCTCTCCACAGGGAGATCCGATCATTTCTCTCATAATCGCAGAGTCCTTCAAGTCCCATCTGGCAAAATCAAACTGGGTCATCTTGTGCTGGCCAGCAGGGGGTGCAATAGGAGAATGGATACCCTGGCAAAACACACACACACACACACACATATCACAGACAATTCAGAGACACCAGTGTTCAGTGTATTTGCAGTCTTCAGCTGAAAGGTAAGAGGTTCTAGCTTTCATGGGATCCCATCATTAATCTTTATTATTTACCATTTATTTTTCTTTATTAAATAAACCCTGAGCCACCCACATTTGCCAGACCCGTTTCTGCATAATAAAAATATGTTGATCTAACTCCAGATCTCATGAGAAGTAAAGACTTTAATGGACACTTTCATCGCAACTTATGAGTTCATTTTTTTTTAACTAATTTGATCCTGCCATAGCCCAGTGTTTCCCAATCCGGTGCTCGGGGACCCACAGACTATCCACGTTTTTGATCCCTCCCAGCTCCCTAATCCACAAAGCATGAACTGTCTGCAGGACCCCCAGGACCGGCTTGGGTAGGCTGCTCTTATCCCGGCATTGTTTTTTTTATGGTGTTCCGCACCATGATGATGGCTCACTGTATTACAGAGTACTCTGTCATTCATATGTTGCATCTGTGTCTTCCAAGTTATCCAGCCCTGAAGGCCTGTGCAGTCCTAAGTTTATTTGTTCCCTTGGCAGCTGTGTTCTATGGTTCATCTATGCCTGAAGCAGATGTATATAGATTAGCTTAAAACCCGTTACATTTAAACAAATTACAATGTCCTAATTTCATGAGTACACAATGAAATCTTCAGATACATATGTCTAACTTCTTATGTATGTTAATAATGTTATATATTACATGTGTTATCATAATATGTAGTGTAATATCATGTAATATCAATAACATGTAATATCATTATATGAAATATGTAGCATAGTCTTTAAAATTTGAGAGCAAAACAGAATATCTTTGCCTGTATAGAAAAGGGGGCAGTTTGCGAAAGATGCAGAGAAACAAAGAGACATAAAAACCTGCATAAAATTAGAAATCTTCAAAATTACTATACATCTGAATATTATCAGTGAAATCTTATTATGAATTGCTATTATTATTATTATTTTTTTATCTCAGAGAGTTTACAGAAAATGGATGTCTCTCAAAAAAGGACCCTATACAAATCTCAAACATTTAATTTCAAAAATGAGGGGGGCAAGATGAAAACAGCCCCTGAACTCCTCAGTGATACATTGTCCAGGAATTGCGGTCCATACTGCAGCTTCACTGACCTCATTCAAAAACTACATTCATGCTGTATGCTTAACAAGAACAATCTTGGCAGAACAAAAAAAAAACCAACATTTTGGGTTTCTTGCACATAAATTAGACAGCATGCAAATCAATTAATATTGGTTAAAATACGATGACAAAACTAAATACTTCTTATAAAAACATAACATTATCTCTTCTTAACTTTTTCCTATTCAGTTTAACTTAATTTACTATGTTCGATTCTATCATTTATTATTTTATTACATCATTAATAAATGAACATATAATTTAAACAATTTTATTGTATTTGAATTTGCAGCCAATTCCATTAAATGACCTCAAGGTTCAGAGTTGCGAAGTTTGCAATGAGTTCCTTCGGGAAATTCGCCTGTCTCAGAACCATAATCCAAACATTAAAAAATGTAAAAACTTTTAAATCTATTCCAAACAATGTTTTAACTCCTTCTATAAAAGGTCAAATATATGCTGCTTTTCATTGTATCAGTAGTTTTGAAACCATTACTGTTTCCTTAGAAATTTTACTATTTTCTCACACATGCTGGAAAATATTACCACTGAATTAACTCTTATCTATGTCACACTGGTCATACATACAGTCTGCTTACTATAAATGTACATGTGCTTACAATACTGAACTTACTGGCTTTAGGTCTGCCTTGATGGTTTTGTGTAACACTACATTTGAGAAATCAACATTTCTATGTATTGAATAATAGCATTTAATGATACAAGAGTTTCATAATGAGTTTTCATAGGTCATAAATGAATGCCAGACTATTCTCATGCTGTAATGGCATCTATTATATTATCGCTTAAATTAATTTTCCCATTTATAAAATTTGCATTTCCTTCTAAACACCAAACCTCACTCCACTGTCTTTTGGGTAATTCTAGCCTTTTCTTCTGCATGGCAGCTGTGATTAACAGTATGTTAACAGCAAATTGCTGTCAAATGTTTTTGACTCATTTGATTGTGAATTTACATTTCATTTATTTAACAGCCACTTTTATCCAAAAAAGCAAATGTGAACTAAGAGCCTTGCTCAAGTTTTGCTAATCCCCTTCATTAGTGTTCAGCTGGTGTTCTCTATTCTCTATATTAAATTCTTCTTGCTTACAAGTGAATTAAAATTTTTTGTCTATTTTCATTTGTAGTCTATACAGAGAGGATTAGCTCAGAAATAAGCCTTATGAAATATTCTATCCTAAATGCTAAGTTTTCTTTTTAAAAATTCATCCTCCTAGTCAACACTGCCATCCTGTGAAAAATATTGTGAATTACAACTAAGGTGACCGATTAGCGTCTCTTGGCTCTGGCGGCCCCAGAAAACAAATCATATGAGGGACATCGCCATCTTGTGGTTCGTGAGGTAAAATTCTTCGTCAAAATGTTGCTTGTAGCTTTTAATTGTCTGAAGAATGCGATTAAAGTGCGGTAATTAGTGTTTTACGTAACTTACTGTTATTCGATTTCACAGCCATCCTTTTTATGTTAATTGGTTTATACCTTTCCAATTATATTTGTTAAGCACTGTTAGGATTGAAATATGTGAGCAATATTTAAAATGCGTAGTAAAATATGTGTGTATATCACAGTTATTTACAGTAAGGATTATTCCTTATTTTGGAGACTAAAAACGGAAACTAAAGCCATAATATTTTCTAAAAAAAAATTTCATTTGAAATGTTCGCTGGACATTTGCTATATAAGTTAATGACTTAAAAAAATGCAATTTTACGTTTTAAACGACAATACTCGAAATCGAAATCGCGTAAGATTCAGTAAAGAATCTACTATGCTGGTTTTAAGTTGTATGTGCACGACTTTGCAGGGTTTTTTTAAGCGATGAGCGTGTGTGATTGGCAGACTATTGCCCAATAGCGTAGCGGGATTATTATGCGGCTTCGCCAATCATAAGATGAGAATTAGTACAGGAAGTTAAGACACGTTGTAGTAAGCATGGCACCCGGAGGAAAGATCAACAGACCCAAAACTGTATGTTTAATATCTCTCTTTAAATGTTTTCTGTCCGTATTTTTTTAAGTCTGTCTTTCTCTTTTTTTCACAGAATAGGTGCCCGGTTTTGCGGTAACTTAAAATTGCAGGATTGTTCACTGTTTACCAACCAAGTAGCGTCGTTACTTGAGGACTAATTTAGCTGCTCAATTTCCTAGTTAGATTTTTATAGATCGTGAAAAAAGCATGGAGGGAGATTACTTGGTTTTCAGGGAAATGTTAATAATTTAAATAAAATTTATTTAAATTAATTTACCAATTTTCTTTAGCAATACCATTACCAACATTACTAAATTATGGCAACACGTTAATTTTGCGTATATTTATATGAGTAATAAGTCAATTGATGTACTTCTGTTGGTTAATTAGATGAGGAACGGTACGCACTGCCAGGGCTGGAACTGGCAATGTATATAGTAGACATTTGTACTGATTTTGCATATGTACACATTATCTCTGTTGAAGGAACTCGGGAAAAAGCTATTTAAACGTCGACGCGTTCTTAATAAACAAAAGAAGTTGAAGCACAAGATTGTAGGAGCAGTGGTTGATGAAGGTCTGATCACTGTTCATCACCTGAAGAAAAGAATGTGAGTACACCATCTCTTAGCATAGCGCCATTTTTGAAGCCATAAGTGAATGTTCAACTTAATGTTCAATCTTCCCTTAAAGTTACAGATCTTCAACTGGAATTCTTGACCTGTCTCAGAAATCAAATTTTATATAAATAATTATATAAAACAATTTCCTCACGCAGCATAAACGTGTTTTCATCCAGAAAAACACTACGTTCAGATATTGATATATCACTCTTTCCAAACTGATTTTTGTAGACCTATTTCAAAATGGATTGATTTTATTTTTCTACCAGTCAACACACAATTGCCCATAATGGTTATGGTGGTCCTTCTTTCTTTCTAGAACTTGTAGTCTGTCTGGGCATGTTATCTTTAATGAATTGGAATGGCACACATCTGTCTTTTACATATGCAAATGTCCCACAGTTTACAGTACATGGCAAAGTGAAGATAAACCATATAAATCTGAAAAAGCTCCTAGATCTGGCTTTTCAGCACAGTTGGGTATTCAAGCATGAAGAGCCTGTGGAGGGTTAGGGTGGTGACCAAGAACCCAGTGGGCACTCGAAAGGCTTTTCCACGCGCACCTTCGGTTGCGGATGAGGGGACGTGACATACATTCCGTCATCAGGGGTTTGCTGCAGACGGCTGCAGTTGTGGCACGTGTGGCCCAGATTTTTACGTCTAGCGGAAACCTTGCGCATCCGTGTGCATTGACCAATCACGTGCCAGATAATTGATTAGGTTTACAGGATTTTCACAGATTAGCGGTCAATGACGAAAGAGTAGAAGAGTAGTTGTTGTTGTTGCTGTAGTAGTAGTTATGGTGAGCAGCTGTATGAGGAGGGTTGGAGGTACCCACATATCTCATTTTTCATACTGTCCAGACATTATACCGAGGTACAGAGTATTTTAAAAAGCAGCATTTTGAAATCTTGGTGATAAAATTTGGCGAGCACTTTGGGGGGGGCCTCCAAGTAGACCGACTAATTTTGTCGTAAGGATTTCAAAATATCGTAGTATTACCATAATACCACCCAAGCCTTGAGTAATAACTTTAAAACTATTCATAAAAGTTTACCCATTTCACCTCTTGTGTTTGATGCAGTACATCTTCCCTCTCCTGGTCTGGTGGAATATGATAGTGTGCACAAACTGCGACCATCCGCAGCCAAACGTAGTATGAACACGCGCAGAAAAGTAACGTATGAACTAGGCTTAACCAAGCATCAGAGGTTTTATGCAAAGACAGGAGAACCTGAAACGCAGCCATCGCTGCATCAGTCTGGTTTTTATGGTAAGGTGGTTAGATGGGAGGCACTATTGCGGTAAAGGGCAGATGATAGCCCACCTGGGTTTGGCTTCTGAATAGGTCTCTGAATGTTCTTGAATGACCCAGCCAAAGCCTGGTCTTCAACCCCATGGAAAATCTGTGGAGAGACCTGCAAATGAGGTGAAACATTGCGACAGAGTAGAGAGGATGTGCAGGGACTGGGAGAAACTGCCCATCTGTCATCATACCCAAGAAGATGCACATCTGTACTCAGTGCTGAAATTGTCCTACACAGCACTCAGTTAAGGATTTGTAAATGGGTGATTTTATTTTAAAAATTAGCTAACATTCCTTAACGTTTTTGCCTTATTGCGTCAGTTAATGGCAAAAAGAATCAATCCATCTGGAAATCCACTGTACAACAAGGTCTGGAAAAAAGTCGAGGGATCTGAATACTTTCTGAAGGCACTTGACATTCAAATTGTATCAAAAAGTCGTTATTAGGAAAAGCCTAGTTCATCTTAGTTACTTCCCCTTTAAAACCCTTTCCTGACTTATACGAATTTTTTGGGTTCACTTGTATTGGGTGTTAAAAATGTGGGAATGCCCTAAATTTGCCGTGTGTTTCCCCCTTGCCAGTTCTAGCCCACGGGCAAATATCACTCTGTCCGGCAAGAAGCGACGGAAGTTGATCAAGCAGCTGCAGCACATGGAGCGAGCGAAGGCAACCATGGAAGGTGCCGTGAATGTTAAGAGTCTCTTGCCTGGCAGATGATGGGTTACCAGTCTGAATATGAGAGTCTTTTATAGGGTCCTTTTGGGGGCAGTGTGTGGCTCAGTGGGCTAAGCCTCAACCTCAAACCCAGCCTCAGCACTTCTGCGCGTCCTTAACCAAGGCCCTTAACCCCCAGCTCCCTGGGCGCCGCTATGGGTGGCTGCCCTTCACAGCCTACAGAGAGCAAGATGGGGGAGGCAAAAAGAAAATGTCCCCATAGGGATCAATGTTATATAATTATTATTATTATTATTTATAATTATTACAATTACATAACCCATGACCTGCGTCTTCAAGTTACGTGGAAGATGGATACTGACCTGCTGCTTTTAGTTGACTTAGATCAAACATTCCGACTGGATAAAGTGTTATCCAAGTTTTAACATGTCCCATCTGTCAATCCATCCATCTTCCATGTCGGCTTACACAGTGTACAGTGCCCAGTACCCAGTATACAGTTCCCAGTTCCTGTCCCCGGAACCACAGGGCCCGAGGCAGAGAACCTTCTGTATACAGTTCAAGACATCAATGTGTGCAATTTAGCCCCGTTTTCCTACAGTTCCGAGGTTATCTGATGCATGATGATGTATAATACCTTTAGTCTGATATGCATGCCATGCCTCAGCTGTCGGTCACCTTTGGCACGCTCTGCGTTCCTGTCCCTCGCAGTTGAAGCACAGCCTGCAAAGAAAGCTACCCCCAGCACCGTCTCCAAAAAACAGGTGAAGAAGGCAGCTCCTCGGGACGTCGAGATGGACGATCAGGATATGGAATGAGGAGATGGTGACCTGGACCCTGCTGAGGAGATGGTGACCTGGACCCTGCTGAGGAGATGGTGACCTGGACCCTGCATCAACAGCTGCAGTTCAGCAGTACAAGGATGTTGCTGTTTTTATTTTTTGAAACACATTCGTCTTTATAGAGTGTTAATATGTATCCTTCTTCCAAGACCCTGTATTCTCAACATGAATGTAATATGGTATTTTTGCAAAGCTGTCAACTTGCATTGACTGTAATTTTTAATGGACTTTGTTACTGCCTTTTGACCCAATTGAAGGAGTCTGTGCTGTAGATGGAGGAGTATTTCAGGATCCCCCCCCCCCCATTATAATTACCTTTATAACTGGAGGTTAGCTTCAAGACTGTACTGAGGCATTGTGTGGTTCAGTGGAAATGGACACTATTGCCTGCGATTGGAATGTCGCTGCTTCAGATCCCAGAAGCTGAAAGGGTGATTTCAGTATTGTGGCCTTGAACAAGACCCTTAACCCTACAATTGCTTAATACATTCTGATAAATGTATGTCACTTTAGATAAAAGAGTCTGCTTTTGTTGTATAAAACATACAAACTTTGAGTGACAGTGTTTCAAGGAACAGGGCTGTACAGACTCACTGTAAGCTGTTGTATATGGAGGATGCTTGAAATATTTGCATACAAAAGCTGATCATAAGGCTCTTATGTTGAATGTCGACATATATGGAAATATCTCCCATCTCGTGTACTTAAGTAAACAAGGCCTATAATAATTTCAACCCTATCTTTGTACGTGAACATAGATTTGTAAATGCCGCAGTTAACATTTTAAAACTGGTATTTGTAATTACTTTTTCCACTCTGTCGCCCCAAAATTGTATTTGCGATTCGTTAACCTTCCGATGCAACGTGAATAATTATTAATTTAAGGAATTGATGTTTAGACGTGCATCAAGGTGTAAATTGTAGTGACCGACGCAACAACCCAATCCGGAGTGGCGTGTTTAATCAGGGATGTGGCGGCAGGATTGAAAAGGTAGCCTACAGTCAAGCCCCCCCTTTGCGAAATGTCGAGGACAAAGAGACAAAAAACAGATGCACCCAGACACGGCGAGGAAGCAGGCTGTGATCCTACGGTGATCGGGGGATCGGGCTCCGGGTTGTAGTCGAGCCTGCGGTGAGCTTTCCGGTGCGAAACGCCGAAGTCATGCTGTGGTTTCGTGGACCTTTTAACGATTTTGTGACACGGACTGCAACTCCGGCTTGAAAAACAGCCTTTTTATTTCCGTCGCTGCCAGCGATCGTCCAAGAAAACGGGGACACGGCGGTGGCTGGTGCGCCTTGGACAGATCACCGACGAATATTTCGCCACCACTATACATTTATTTAATTAATAACGCACTGTCTTCTCGTGTTTATTCTATGTTTGGAAGTGATGTCAAATATAATGCATTTCAGTATAATGACAAGGAGAACGAGAGGCTGACGGAGGACAGCGCGGTGTTGGTGTCCTCGTATTTATAAGAGAAATGTCTAAGAAGGGTCTGTATTACGAGGATGGAAAAAAATAATCAAAATCAAGACTTATAAAAAAATAATAATATTCTTCTAGGATGGTACCTGCATCAGTAGTACACAGAGTACTCTCACAATATTAAAAAGGTAGGAACCGCAACCAATAATCTGTATTTCAGTAATGACTCGTATATATTATTTAACACGTGTTAAATCATACGCTGTGTACAACTAAATCGGTGGTCAGTATTATTTCGTCAGTTCAGTGTAGCTACCAGTAACTGCGCAATTGTTTACGCTCATAGAGAAAAGCGGCGTCCTTATGATTTAATGGAAGCTGCGTTTTGGTGTGTTTTCCCCTCCAGCTACATATCGTCTGTTTGTATGACATCGGCGTTATAACGGAACATCTCCGTCTAAAGAATCTGCCGTCGGGCAAAAATGTCCTCGATAAATAAGAGTTACCTAAATTTCCGTTATCACCGCAGATAATATGTTAACTAGTTTTCATGTACTGCTGTAAGATGGTGACATTTTTCTTTAATCTGTATTGTCTGAAATATATCCTAATATCTATGTATGGTATTATGATCGTGAGGGATTCCGTGAAACCTTCGAAATGTGCGACTCTGAAATTACACAGCAGGGTTAACTGTTCTGAATACCGCGTAACTGTATAGTAATAATAAGTATTGGTCTTGTAGGTGTTTAGAAACGGGGGTGAAGTTGTGCCCTGAGGTGTCGGGGAGCGCGCTGAACTGTGGAGAGGCATTTTCACACCTCATGGGAGACTGCTAACAAGCACTCGCTACTGGTAAGTACTAAGATCACAGCCTCTGCTGTAGTCATTGGAAATGCAGTGCTGCTCATTATACTCGGAGCTAAAACAGTCATCCACTTACCCATAAGCCATTTAGCCAATAAGGGTCATAGCGATCTGGTGCAGGTATAGTGAAGGTTCTAGAGTAAGGAGCACCGACCCACGACAGCGCACCGGTTTACCCTGAACGCCATGTCGTTAGTGCCTAGTGGAAATGCACGTGGGAGAGAAGCAAACAGGAGCAGAACATCCAGCAGCCACGCACGTGGCTTTGGGGGTTGGGAGTGCAAACTCTGTTGTTTTTCCACAGACACCCTAACCCCCAAAGCAATCTTTACTTTTACCAATTCATATTGCAGTTTGTTTACCAGAAGAAATTGACTGTTTCCTGGGACTTTTCAGAAATCCTAGGAGGATGTTACAGCGCTCCTTTCCTTATATGAGCAAGGAGGCAGCATTTTTGTCGTAAAATTCATCTGGCAATGGCATTGATTTGAATCGGTTTCCTTGAAATGCAATTCATGTGCTGAAATTTTGTTTTTCGTCTAGATGCTAAACAAACCCAGATACCTTTGACTGTGACGGAACAGCCTCCCCTCCAATATCTTGGCACACTGAATGAAAATGACTAATATGTTTTCCAATGGTGTATTTAAAAATTATATTATCTTAATTGTAGCATGAAATGTGCTCTTTAAAAGCCTTTCAGTTTCCCTTTCTGGCCGCTTAAAAGGGTCAGGTCAAATCGCTTTGCAGATCCATCCATCTTCCAATGGCTTGTGTGATATGGGGTCGCGGGGGGCGGGGCTTGACTGCTATATCAGGCAGCACGGGGCATAAGGACAGGACAGGATGGCAGTCCATCACAGTGCACATATATGCATATATTTGCACCCTGTGGTGATTTCCCAGTCCTGTAGGTGTGAGACCGCAGTGCTACCAGCTGAGCCATTATGCCACTTAACCGTTTGCATAGTTTTTATAAAATCCGATGACATAAATCATTTTGGTTGTAGCTGTTAACACAGTAATTGCACTAGAAACATAATTACCGGTAATAGTTTTATATTAATAATACCAAGATGGTTCAATGGCATGTGCACAACAATGACAATGGCACAACTGGGTGGTTGAAAGTTGCTTCGAATCTCCAGGGTCTGGGGGGTGAAATCCCATCTCTGTGGTGCTCGTAGGTTCTCCCTCTCTCCAGTGGGTTCCCTCGCAATGAACCGGTTCCCCTTCCAGGGTGTCCTCATGCTCTGTCCTATCTGTACACTCTCTTCCCTAGGACATTCTGAATCTACCCACTAGTCGATTCTTCCAATGTGGGCTGTAGCTGGCACGCATGCGGCGACCCCCTCCTGGTCCGTGAAGATGGGAGTGGGTCTGGTGTTCAGCCTGGCTCTCCTGTGGTCCTCCAGTTCGGCCACCACCAAGCAGTGCTTCTCCAAGGAGCGCACCAATCTGATCATCAACGCCAGCGCCGCCTTCCTGGCCAGGACTACAGTTCTGGATGCCCGCACCAGCCTTTCCCAGCAGGCCTGTCTGCTTGACTGCTGCTCCCAAGAAGGTTCTGGAACAGTCATAATACCGACACCAGTATGATTTGCCTAAAAGCAGTCAGTTGTAAAGATTGTCATACAGATTGACCTATTGTGATTAATTTTTCATGCTGTGGCACTGTATAGGACATCACTAGGCCAAAGTTGATAAATGTATCGCCAAATACAATAATCATCTGTGCTTTTTATTTTCTTGCAGTTTTTAAATGCAACTGGGCTGTATACAGACCCGATAAGCCGAGCGGAAGCGAAAATTGCTACTTGTTTTACTGTGAAAGAGAAGAGGATTGTCCTCTGATTCCCATGAACGGAGTGAACAGCTATAACATTTTCACAGGTAATCTTCAAATAAACAACCACGTGGACCATTTGTCCTCATTGGAATTATCTGACTGACTGTATAATTTTCTGTGACCTGCATTATTTTGTTTATAAAATGTGTCATTTTCTATTCCTTAGGTGTGGATTATCCATCCATGAACCATTTAACTACTACAAAAGCCGCCACACAGCCAAGTACTACCCCCAGAGTAACAATCAGAGTAACTGCTAAGCCAACCTACGTTACCACTCCATCAACACCAACTGCCACCACACATACTTCAACTGCTGTCACTACTCCTACACAACCAGTGACTACTACTCAACCAACTACTACTACTATTACTACACTACCACCTACTATTACACAGCCAAGTATTAGTACTACTCTACCAAGTATTACTAGTACAGAGCCAAGTATTACTACTACTACTACTACTACTACTACTACTGTTACTACTAGTACACAACCAGCTAGTTCTAGACAAACAACTACTACTATACAACCAGCTAGTACTACACAACAACTTCCAGCTACAACTAGGACACCACAACCAAGCAGTACTACTGCACATACTCAGCCAACTACTACTCTTACTAGCAGTCAACCAACCACCACCACTACAGAATCAGCTACAACAGCTTTGATTATAACACCACCAACCTTCATTTTACATACTGATCCTATTACCATGAAAACTACTACCACGAGCTCACTGGTAGCAAGGCCCAACCGACCAATCGATGTTTCTATGCAAAAAACTATTACAGCATCAGCATTAACAACTACTGTGCAATCACCCCTGACTACTGAAATAAAAATTGGCACTGACCCAACAGAAACCACAGCTGCTGAAACAACTTGTGTTACATGGCAAGCTTTGCTCGCTACAACAATTACAACTACAGCTACACCGAAAACTGAAACACAAACATCTTTATCCACAAGTACCACAAAACCAAATAAAAATATCAAAAACCACAACAAACCAACAAAGAAACAAGCCATGAAACCATCCCCTTATAATACAAGACTAGGTACCACTACTACAACCACTATATTCCCTTCCAAACATCACTTAAAATTGACTACAGCAAATGCAAAACAAAGCTCCGTAACAAGACCGCCAGGTCTCCCTCACAAAGCAGCATCCAGAAAGCCAAAGACAAACCTGAGGACTTCGGCCACCACGATTAAAGCAAAAGTCTCCACTGCGCAAATGACGACATGGACGACAGCGACTCCCACGTTGCTGATGACCCAACGCTCTGCGGCCAGCATGACCCCATTGCAAGTCACAGCCAAGGAAGCCAAGTCCATGCTGGTGGCCCCTCCCCCACCAGCTCCACCCACCACTAAGCCTGGCCACACAAACCCCCCCAAAAGGAACACTGTCCACCAGCGGACACTGAAGAGCACTCTTGAGGTAGCTGTGGTGGTTGGACTTGTGTTCTTGGCTCTTGTTATAGCACTGGTAGGAAGGAAAGCTATGGAGTCTTTCAACCGAAGACAGTACACAAGATTGGAGCTAAATGACTTATATTACGATGTGTGACAGCATCCCGCACAAGTGTCAAATGCAAAACTCTGTTTTGTTTTTTGAACCAGAAACGATGTGCTCTATATTTCAACTAATATCTAAAAAAATGGGTGCATTTAATTTCATGAGACCAGTTGATAAAATAAAATGGGTCACGTTGGGGGGGGTGGTTTGAGGCGGTTTAGTAGGGCCAAAGAATAATGAATTAAAAACGCAGCAATACCTCTTTTGCTTATACTCAGGTAGTCATAAAAATCTGGTCAGCAATTGGGAAACCGGTTACTTCAGCAAAAATGCCATTGTGAACTGCAGCTACATAAAATGTATTGAAACAAGTCACCAGTTGTTAGAGGTAAGCAGTAAGTGATGTGAAGAAACGCCGCTTGTCATTCTGTCGTCTAATTTTTAAATTCATTTGCACTGTTCAGTAATAATTTTACTGTCCATTGGCAGTGTGGCCTCCTCACAGCTCATGCTGGTGTAGTTTTTTTTACAGAATTACTTACAGAACTTAAAGAATGCAGGGAACAGGGAGGCAGAATGCATCGAAGAATTCAACAATCAGTTCCAGTGCATTGTATCTTAAATTCATATATTGTTCTTTTATGTAGAGTTCATTGATTGCATAGTTTTGTCCAAGAATTTGATGTATGTACACACGCATGCGTGTGTTCGTGGGTGTGTGTGTAGAAAGAGAACGATGTAAAAATGATTGTTTTTGTAGAGTGCTGAATTACCCGATGTCCTGCATAATATAGGTGTCATAATGTAACCACAAGATGGCAGCAAACACAAAGTGAACCACAGTGAGCCGTGCTCCATCGCTAAGACTCCACTAGAAAAAAAATGTACACTGCAAATTCTGGAAATAAATTCAATGAATTGCACACTTATTAAGTAGGATGTTTCGATGGACTTCACTCAAATATTTACCGCATGTATAATTTCGAAGGTTGTGTGAAAATTCATGGGTTTGGTGTACTTTGTTACTTATAAATTAGATTTAAGTAAGTGGTAATTGTACAAAATGTGATTTTGCAATAAAGCTTTTGTAAGCATATTTTGTGAGAATGTTTTCAGGCATGATTCAAACAGAAAACGTTATGGGGAAGCAGAAGTAACCGTAGTGCTTGTCCCCATTGACCAGATGGCGATAGCTGATGTCTGGTTAGGGCCATGATGTTTTGAAAGTTAAGAAAACCCTCAAGGAGGAATTTCTTTAGTGAAATAGTCACTGTGTCTCTCACTATGGATGGTCCAGGTGATTAACAAAGTGTGCACATGTGACATATGACACTGGAGGCCTAACTAGCACCGGACAAGAACATCTTAATTTGCTAAAACCAAAAACAATGCATACACATCAGTCCATTGGAACAACAGTACATTTACCTGTGTTTAAAGGACGACCTGCAGGTGCTCCAGATCTGAAAATGTGAAGGAACTATTTGACGTTCCAAAACCACTGAAATACTACATCTACTACCAACTGAGAAAGGAACAAAGACTACATCCCTGATTATCCAGGGACTATTAACAAGCAGAATCTATATCTTTCAAGTTAAACGAAAGGTCCCTTGGTGTTTATGCTGTTTATGTTGCATGTTTAAGCACAATTGTTGAAGAGAAGGAACTTGAAATAAGTTTTCCGATGAATAAGCATGAAAAATGTAGATTCTTTATGAAATAAGGGTTCTGACCAAATCAGGATAATCTTTGATAATATGGACAAGGCAGTACAAGGCAATAATCTCACAATTTTTTTTGTGTGTGTCATATTTACAGTGTAACTATCAGAAAATGAATGTGCTCTGTACTGGGGAGCTAAGCAGGAATTAGCGTCCTCTGGGAGCTTCAGGAGACTCTCAAAGGCACTCCCATTTCTCGGACATTAGAGTTGCCCTGTTTCACATGCGTCGGTGTAGTACAGGAAGTCAGAAGTAAAGGAGCCCCATGCCATTAAAATGTGTCTTTTCCCTGAGCCTGATTTCCACTTTTCCTCAGACTCAAGAATCCGTTACCTCAAGTGAAGGTGCGCTATCATGGACGCTGTAGAAAATCTGGATGGCTGTTGTCGGACCATGAACCCTCGAAGGATACTGGTACCTGGCCATTTACCTGAATTTTTTCCATTTCCATAAGGACCTTTAAAATAATAGTTCCTTGGTAATATTAAACATCTAAATTAAAACAGAGCAAAAACTGAATCCCTTTTCATGTCTTTTCTGAAGTGGCATCAGCAGTTTCCTGAGAATACATTTCTGTGCTTGCCGCTAGCTTCTGTTTCTCCAATAAGGAGCCATTGTCCACTCTGAGATAAGAAAGATACAATCTATGAATATTATAGTGCATTGTTATGTTTAAAAAAAACTATCTGCACATTGAAATATTATGAGAATAAAGATGATACATTCACAGATCACAATAGGAGTCTGTAATAGATTTCTCAGTATGACATAAAACATCAACCAAGGCTGAAAACATATTGTTTTGCTGCGTAATCCTTTATTGGCACTAACATTATCTAACTGTTACAGAAATTATTCAAAAACACGCGTGATAAACAGAAAGCCTGTGTAATTTGAAGCATTCGCTAAGACTTTGTAGCTCGGCGTTCCCGACAGAGGCGACCCTCACAAGCGGGGTCACAGGGGTATCCGGATACGGACCGAAGCACCATCTCGCCGTGAGAAACTAGTCCCTCCGGATTTGCTTTCTCTGCTCCCAAAACAATTGCTGATCCCCCCCTCCTTTCCCCGCAAACACCCGCTGCCCGCGTCACATTTTCACCGATCCCGCCGCGACCAAATTGCGGCATGGGAGGGGGGTGGTTGGAGACGAGCGCATGCGGTGGAGCCACAACAATAGCTGATGCGGGTCGGGTTTCGAGAGCGAATACTGCCGAGCACAGGGGGGAGGGATAGGGGGAAAAGGCGGAGAGGGGGGGGGGTTTGGCATTTTTCCGCCCGGCGGAAGGACACGGATCCAGAGGCGGCGTGTCGTTGCGCTCAGGCAGCAGAATGAGCGACTCGGAATCGCGGCGCCACCGAGCGTGAGTGCGGAGTAGAATGGAGCCGAGCTCGGCTTGATCCGCACCGGAACCGGCCCGAATCACACGACGCGAAGGTCCGAAGATACCGAAACAGAGGAGGAAGAGGGAGCACGACGAGGGAGCGATATGATATCGCCGCGCTGAAAGACAAGCGGCGGCGGCGGCTTGCGAGGAAAAAGGGAGAGAAAGATGGGCGCCGTTCTGCGGAGTCTAATCTTCTGTAGTTTCTGTTCGCTTATACGAGGTGAGTTTTGGATGGGATGTTTTTTTTTCTCCTCTGCTTCTTTTCCGGAAAGTTGGCAAAAGATTTGGGAGAAGTAGCCGTCCCCCCCCCCGCCATAGGCCTTGCGTGCAAGTGCGTGGGGCCCTACGTGAAGGGGAGCTCGCTACCTTGATTGCACGTAGGATCCCATATGGACCCGCGCCGCCTGCGCGTGCCGTTTGCTGCCCACCGGCCGTGCTTCCATTCGGACTCCCGCTTGTGGCTTTAGTCTGTTTACCCCCATCGAAGTGCATCCTTGCGCCTTTATATAAATGCATATATACTGTTTTCATAGTACGGCCAAGCTTCCCGTCTTCCATATGCATTAATAGCAGGCATGGTTTTGGTCCCGTCTGTCTCCCGTCCGACACTTCCCTGTTTCTCTCGCCGAAGGTGTATTTATTGTTAATCGTCTGCCACCTCTAGTTTTAAAACTGCTACTTTTCGATCGCCTTTAATGTAAACGGGCTGATACTGATACACGTTGTAGGGGTAGAGCTACGTCTACTCTGGATATTTTGTTTCCGAGACGAACCGTGGCGTGCGCTTTGTTGCAACTTTTTTTTTTTGTCAAAGCCTTGGCTTTTATTCGGCTGTTTATCGTCATTATCGCAGTCGGATAGCCTGTTTTTTAGTCAAACTGGTTATGTTCACTGCCATTTATGTTGTCCCTCGTTTAGTTTTCATTGTTCTATTTTAAACTTTTAGTCGTAGTAGCCCCCACCCCCTCCGAAATATGAAAACAAGTTTAAATCTCCATCTCCTGTAAAACCACGAAACCACGTATCAGCATAACCGTATGAGTCTGTATGTTTTCTCCAAATTTCGCCAATCGCGTAATCTCAGCTATAAAACGACGGGTCTTTGCTCTGTGGGTAATTTGAGTATAAAAGCAATGTATTCATGAAAATGGGCTTGGCGAGATGCATTGTCTGTTTTCTTTCCTCCAAAGGGTCAGAAGGTATCTTTTTATTTTCAATGCCTTTCTCCGTGTTGCATTGCCAGTGAAACAGTCTAGTCTTTGCATTATTGAGAATCACGAATCAACCAAACCCAATGTCACGGGTCAGCTTGGCGCAGCTGGACTTTAACCACGGCAAAGCCAAGCTCTCGATTAGGTGAGGATATGGTGAACGATCAGAGATGAGATTTCTGTGCTGACGCTCTCTGTCATGTTTAGAGGTGAATTATCACTTTGAGCAAGTTAACGAAAGGGATTTTCTGATCTGCTACTGCATGAATACTGGATTACTGATCTGTAAGTCGACAGGTACTTTGGCCATTTGGATTTTGAGGCGTTAATGGAGTTACTAAATGGATATTGGGGTTGGTTAGCCTCATGTCCACCGCCCTTATATGACAAACTATCATTACTGTTAAACCTAACAACTACCGTACATGCTAGCCTCTGACAGCTGGTCTGTGAATGATTAGAACATGTAATAATACAGAATCCCTTTCCTGTTATTTACTGGTGTCCTTATTAAGGTTAAATGTTCTAGCAGGTTATAGTGATGATAGATCCTAATGGCATTTTCCAGATTTTTAGAATTATAATATAGCATTTTAGTTGTTTTTTTTTTTTTTGTGGTGAAGTTCTAGTACTGTTGGTTGACTAGTGTGTGGTGGGCTTTGAATCAGTAACTTTAGCATCCATGTTATGCTTTGGATTTCGCAATGCACTTTCTACCATTTGAACCTCGCTTTAAAAAACCTGTTTTGTCACCTTAGCCCACGTTATCTGTCTCCATCAAGTGGAAGAATGCGATGGAGAGCCCTGTGACGCTGCGTCTACTGATCGAGATGACAGCTTGATGTTGACGGGCGCCTCGTTGATCTGTGTGTCTCGTCTCCTTCTGGGACCTTAATAATGCCGTTGCTTTTTTACGTCGCCTGTTGCAGTAACTGATTATGACAATGGGAGTTCTTTTGACAACATTATCCAATGAAAGTGCATAGGTTTAAGAATTAGCTATGATTGGTAAAGGCTATTATGGTCATGTGATTGGCTGGTACAGGAAATGACTGCTTTGAGTTTTTAATTATGACTGGCTGGTAAGGACACTGTGGTAGACTTTTTTTTTTTGGGGGGGAGGGGGGGATAACCGAAGTAGCTGCTTTTGCCAAGGGAGGGGGGAAAGTGTTACTGGTGATAGAAAGGAAATGGGAATATGTTTGAGGCCAGATATTAAGTGTCCTAAAGTGTAATTTTTCTTCTGTTTACATTTGGCAGACAGAAGTAGTCCTGTTGGACTGACATCAGTGAACTTTCCCCGTGTTGCTTAAGTTCATAAATATTTAGAGAAGGAAATTCCCCATGTTGAAAAACAGCATGTCGGTCGGAGGCACGGAAACTTGAGGTTGACCGTGATAGCGATACATTGGCAGTGGTAGTAGATGTGTCAAACTGAGGTTTGGACCTCAGCCAGTTTGTATGGAAAAAAAGTGCCATTTACCATCCTCTTGCATATCGTTTCAATGAATTTATATAACTTCTAGTCAGATGTGCCTAAAACGCTGTGTTCTATTGTACCGTTTACACAGATTTTCATAAAGTTTTTGTGCTGACTTTGTAGATCCCATAGATCGGCATGGAGATAGCTAATCTAAGCTGACATCAATGAAAGGAGTCTTTGCCACATAACTTGGAGTGCTGTGAAGTTGTAGTGCGAGATGCTCAGATTTCTGCTTTGAGTAGATTACTGTTGCTGTTTTGTGTTCTTGTGGAGCTGCGGTAGCCTCTAAATTAGTTTTAGAAGGAAGGATTGAATGAATGAATCTTCAGCGGCTTCATTTCCATCATAGCAGATTTCACTGAGGTTGTAGCCGCAAAGTGGCCACACTCGGCAGGAAGTGAGCGCCGAGCCGGATCCCTCCCGTCAGTAGTGGCACCTGCAGAAGCGAGCCGATGCATGTCCAGGCAGTCTGGGCAAGGTCCACGTTACCCAAAATTAAACGGCGAGTCGAAATCCTCAAGAGCCTGACTCTGCAGCCAGACTTTGCTATGCTAATGAAACCGCTGCCGTCGTGTCTATTCTTGCTTGACTCATGCCGGACACGGCAGGGAAAACATCCTGCCTGGCAAAATAAGCAAGATTTTTATACCGTGGCAGCGGGGGAGGCTTATTAAAATAATGTTGACGCATCCAAGCTGCAGCTCTGGAGTGGTGGAACTGGGGGCTCGTAGCATTTCTCCATTACCCTCTTACTGGGCCGTGAAGTCTGGCATCGTATGGATTTGCCGTGGTCCACAAAATCGAATTACTGTCAACGGTTACGTTTTTTTTTTTTCTTGAATATTCTATCAGACCTGTTCCTTTGTGTTAGTATCTAGTAGAACTTAAGATCACTCTAGCCATCCCATGAGGCAGTGAGGCTGTTTTTATTTACTTTGAAGCACGTGTTGGAAAGTTTGTACCCGTTCGGTCTCCAGCTGAACACGTAGGAGTTGAATGGATGACCTGTGAGCCCCTCTGGTTTAGCACCGACTGTTTTTCTTCTCTCAGGAGAGTGAGAACTGGTTCTGTGTGACCCTCCCCCTTTTAAGTGGTTTTGGGTTACCTGTTGTTCACTGATTAATCCATTCTCCATTTGAAAACCAGTGGGCTATAAATGTAGCAATTGTGGTGGCTTAAGGAATGGTTTAAACCCTAATTCTGGGTGACATTTGGGTATCATCAGATACTGGCCATGAAATGTATTTTATTTATATTTACCAGACGCTTTTGTTCAAAGCAACAAAAAGAGGCAAATAGCACATTGCAAATATACATGCTGTCAAGGCATCGACTGGACACATGCAGATAGACTGAGCTTACAGGGAATGTCGAGGTAGAAAGATGAGCAGCATTGTAGCAAGAGTTACACGACATCTTACAAAGCAAGAACCTAATAAGGTAACATGAAGGACATTCAGGGAACGCTGAGTAGAATCAGGCTAGCGGAGGTATTCCTGGAACAGGTGGGTCTTGAGGCATTTCTTGAAGGTGGGGAGGGAGTCTGATGACTGGATGTGGGTCAAAGGCTTACTTTATTACCGGGGAACCACACATGAGATTTCTCGCTTGGTGGAGAGATCCCTAAGTGGTGTCAACTTGCTGACCAGAGGTTAATGTTTCTCTTCATGGTCTGAGGGGTTACAGGTGGCAGTGTAGGCAAAATATGACTGAATATCCAAGCCCATCATAAACAGTACCTGGTCTGTTGTCTAAACAGCAAGGCTCTTTGGGCATGAGGCTTTTGAGATTGAGGGAAAAGCTAACTGGCTTATGTAGCTAATGCTACAGGGGTAGCTTCCTTCCTTGGTTTCTGCTGCATGTGCTCATTCATTAAGTTCTGTATAATTCAAGCTAGTATGAACGGGTTCTACTAATTGAAATCATTGTTCAGCAAGACTTCAAGCGACTTCGGTACCTGTTGGTTTGTGGTGATTGTTTTTTAATCTTGGTTTACAAGCAGAGAATTCTTGATGTGCCTGGCTGGTAGCGAATGCCGTGGTGGGTTCTCTCACTAGGTTAATGGATGGTTTTATTTAAACCAGGTATTCCTTGCCTGGTGTCTAGCAGCAGCATGGAATATCACTTGATCCACTAGATTGCTCATCTGGTAAGAATCGAATTCCCCTAACTAATGGTCCTGGTTCCTTTGCCACAGGCGACCCCCTCCTGCTGTATGCAAATCGGCGGGACCTGCGGCTGGTTGATGCAGCCCAGGGACGGGCCAATGCCACAGTGGTAGTGAATGGGCTGGAGGACGCGGCGGCCGTGGACTTCATCTTTGCCGGTGGCCTCATCTACTGGAGTGACGTGAGTGAAGAGGCCATCAAGCGAACGACTTTCAACCGGTCAGGCTCCTCCCACCAGACTGTGGTGCTGTCGGGCCTCCAGTCCCCCGATGGCCTGGCCTGCGACTGGGTGGGTAACAAGCTCTACTGGACTGACTCGGAGACGAACCGCGTCGAGGTGGCTGGTCTCGATGGATCTTTACGGAAAGTGCTGTTCTGGCAGGACTTAGATCAGCCGAGGGCCATTGCCCTGGACCCAGCTCGGGGGTAAGTACCATTCCTATCTAAAGGGGACAAGTTGGCCTGTAGTGCAGGGGGAATGGTTGCACGTGAAAATTGGTTATTTGTCAGCAAAGGGTGTATTGAATTGCGGAAGCGGCCCAATCTAGGTCAAGAACAAACGTTTTCTGAGACAGGGCCGCCGTTCACATTGCTGTATTTATTTCCAAGCAAGGAGAATCCAGAGCAGTGCATCCATGCTCCGGTAGCTAGGGAATGTTTTATATTGGTGCGTTGTTATTATGGCCCCTGCTGCACCCCAGGAGGAAAAACAAGCCGAGGTCAGAGTCTCGTCTCTGTCAGACGCCCATTGCGACTCCGCCTGTCTGGTTTGCCGAAGGTCGAGAGTTCTCACTCTACAGCCTTAAGTTGGGTGCCTTCGAGTTGAGTGCAAGTCGAGCCTTGGCGTTCTTTTAATTCTGGCAGCTGTGATGAAATCTGTATGTCTGCTTGGGGAAGGGGGGTTACTATTCGCACAGGGTGGTGATTTCTTTGCAAATGGGTCTCGTCGATTTATGCTCAGCTCTGACTTAAGTGTAGGTTGCGTTTTGGCTGAACTTATTTGGTATATTTCAAGACCCGATAGCAAATGGTCGAAGCTCGTTTTTGGTGCCTTTTGTTCAGAGCCAAAAGTGAGGGTAGTTTTCCCACTAGTTTCTCTGTTTCTAAAGTTCAGTTGATGTCCCCTGGTAGCATTTTGTCTCTGCAGAATTTCATAAGACTCTTGAGATTGTACAGTGATCGAATCTTAGTGGTTTTCACGCCTGTCTGATGTTTTGATGTCAGTGTGCAATCATACTTTGCCATTAACTTGAAAATGGTGGTTCTGTATTTCTGTGGATTCCACTCATGAAAATTATGCCCCCCCCTTGCTTTGCTCGGTGTTACATTAAATAAAAGTGGCCTCCTGGCCAAATGACATCTGAAAAGCTGCTGGGAAGATCTGAGTAGTTTTTAATTGGGGGGGGGGGGGTAGCCCACAGGAAATGGAATGACAGAAGAAAAGGCAAGGCAGGGATATAAAGTGCCCATAGCCTCAATTACAAATGTTCCTTTTAGTTGTTTCCCTGTGCTTTCCTCCAGTCCGCGGGAAACTGGAGGAAGTGTGCAGGAACATGGCGTATGTCCTTTTAGAAATCCGTTTCAGGTTTAATCCAGGAAGGAAAAATTCTTGGGAACAATGTTTCAGGATAGTTTTACGAAACTCGTTGTACAGGCTTCCGTTGTAGTCACGTCCGGGGACTTTGATTTGACCACGGTCCCCGGGAAGATGTCCATATTTATAGAAAAATGGGACATGCAGGCTTGTACCATTCAGGTACAGTTGTTTCAGAGCTGGACCATCCTTTGGGTCTTGTGTTCCGGCGTTCTGTCCCTGTTGTAGTTAAATTATGGTATTTTACCGAATTCTGCAGTGATTTGACGTGATGCCAGTGTCATGTTTGTTGACTCATGCCACCTTGCTGGACACATACTCACTTCTTCACCATGGGATCTGGGCTGCAGTATTAACAGGTCTCGTTCGTAGATGCGACCGGTAGCGAAGCATTGAGAGAATGTCGCAAATGGGGGCCCCTCCGTGCCTCTGCGGCTATCCCTGACATGTGCGCGTGCCGGAGACTGACACGTGCAGCGGTCTGCGGTGTTTTGGTGGGTTTTGCTCACGGTGGTGTGATATGTCCATGGAGCCATGGGTGAGCCCCATCTCAGATTACTGGGCATGACGCTGTTAATAAAAATATTTGTACACTCCTTGGCTTTCGGCGTTATTAGAGTGGGTGGAGGACACATGAAACCACGCTAAACCAGGAATAATCAATTCTATAAAATCTATAGACGAGCAAAACATAATGGTGGAAACAGTGATTTGTTGTAGATCAGGCTAAGCTTGCCTGAAGCCCACAGTTTTGTTGGCCGGAGGTGTGGGGTTGAAACAAAATGTCCAGCTACAGCAGACTTCCTCTGTTTCTTCCATCACTCTTCCCCTTTAGCTACCCAGCTGACTCTATTTAAAGTTGGCAAGTCAATTAGGTCACTCCAGACCAGTCTTTGGGCACGAGGCTGGTGATCGATTGCTATGGAAACCTAATGTGCCATTTGCCTTACTACTGCGTCTCTTTGGACAAAAGCCTCTGTTAAATGTGTATGTAAATAAGAGATGGCCCAAACCTGGCCCCAAGTTAGTGCTCTTTGTCTTTCACTGGATCACTGATGTTTATAAATCTGTGTGTTTTCGCACTGAGATCCCCCTCTGTTGTATGCAAGAGCTGTCGCATCGAATCAGTTTGCAAATATTGGTAGTGCAACCTTCATAGTGCTCTTTTGAAACACTGCAGGGTCAGTCTGCTAGTCTGTTAGGGAGTCGTGCAATTTGCCCATGTTTGTAAGGGGGGGGGGGGCTGCCTGAGAAGAACAAAGGCTGCTTGTCCATTGCCTGGGAAGCACACGTGAAATGCACCTATAGTTACCCTACAAGTCTGCAATGCCTGTCATCCCTCCCCCCTCTGGGTCGCACAGAATGGGGACAAGTGGTTCTCTGTAAGCACACAGTCATACTCGCTACACCGAATGATGGGCTCACCCGGAAGGGTGAGCTCATTCGACGACTGCAGCTTGTACTGTCAGCCGGAATTATGTAAACAACAGCTTGTTCAGCAGCATCTGATTGATGTGGTGCTTCTTAATCTCATAGAAATCTGCCCCCTTTTGGCATTCGGTGAGTAGCTACACCCAACGCATCACACTACTCTGGAGGCCATCTTCAGGAGAACCACAAACCACAGCGCGTACCTGCACACGTGTTCCGTGGCCACTGGGCTGTGCTTCTGCGTGCTGGCAGAGTGTGTGTAGCCCTGGCAGGTCAGGTTTAATCTGGGGGAGAGCACAGGGACTGGTGGCGGGCGCTGAATCTGAACCGCCTGGTCTCGTGTTACGCCTGCCCGCCCTATGGGCGAGCGGTAGCTAGGTTACCGGGGGTAACCCGAGCGTGCTGATTTTGCAAAGGAGGGTGGGGAGTTGGGCGCCGCTGACACAGGCCCACCCCCCCAAGAGGCCGTTGCTTCTGTCCCTAAAACAGTGGTTCTGAACCTAATACACTTAAGACCCTGTATTGGGGGAGAGCCCCGAAATCACAGGGCTATTAGACATTCACCAAGACTGCTGCAGAATTTCATACCTGATGCTCTTTTTTATTTGCGTTTCTCCCTGGTGGGAGGGGAAATACCCCATGTTTTTTTTTTTGTTTTTTTTTTAATAAAGTTTTGATAGAAATTGTATCGTCTTGTTTTGATGATGTATTTGGCCTTTGCATAGCAGTGAGGGTGATGTGAGCCTTTCACAGCTATGGGACACCCCGCACACACGGCTCCCAGTTCCAGCATTATTTATAAACTCACTCCAGTGGTTTCTGTGCCCCGCCCATCTTGGCGCCGCCTGTCCATTCCGGAACATCCTCCATGTCCAATCCCTGATTGCCTGGGCGGGCCTTTCATTTCGCTCAGGTCCCGCCCAGGTTTTTTTTGCCGACATGCTGGTGTGTCTGTGAGAGCGACTCCCAGCTGCGCTGTGGGCTTGTGACTCCGGCGTGACGGACCTTTTGAGCTGCGGCTCAAAGCGCTTTCCCCGCCGAGCGCGGCTGCACTTCCCTGTTTTTAGGAAGATAAGTCCACTCACCGCCTCCTTTAAATCCGACAGCCACCTCTTACTATGTGCACCAAAAGCAACAATTACTCTTCCCATCTGTGCTTAAAAAAAAACAGAAGAGCGTTTTTTTTTTAGATTAGAAGAACATGTAGGAGGGGGGTATCTTTCATTTGCTTGGGTTTTGGGAACTTAAGGGTCTTGGTCTCCAGTTGGATTTTGGTTAGGGGTTGGGGAGGGGGAGTAATTAAAACCAGATTGGAGGTGTTGGTTTTTGCAGTGAAGAGGTGGAAATTTGTCACACACACACCCTTACAGTCCATCCTTGCTGAGGACCCACCAGGGTCTCTCCAGCCCCAAGTCATTTCCCATGCTCAGCACCCCCTACAGGTGAACTGGGCCCGTCTAGGTGTCTGTGGAGGCGGAGGTGTTGGCGGACCAGGGTCGGCATTGCCAGGTGGGCCCGCCTGGAAGCGGTAGTGTTTTCCTGGACCCGTTTAAGGCGGACCGGGCTCCTTAAGTGCTGGGCAGTAACGGCTCTGTCCTGGTGCCTGCCTGCGCTTTTCAACATGAAAGGCAAATTGATTTAAGGATCAGTGCGTTTTTCTGTCTGCTTCCTCCTTAACCTCTTTACATGGACGCTTTGATCCTGGCCGTATAGCTGACAGCTTGCAAACCAGATGAAATATGGAGGCCGGAGCTGTTTATGTTGCTCCTATAAAGAGCGGCGAGTCTGGGCTGATGTAGCATATGCCAAAAGGGAGAATAAATCAGGGCTCTTCTGTGTCTCTCCTCTGCTTGTGATCTTCGTGCGCGGTAGCTGTGAGCCGAATGGTGGGATGCCTCTTTGGGAGCTCGTAGGGCATTCCGACACCCGCAAACGAGCTGCCCAATATGGGCTTTTTAAATGCAGTGGTTGATGGGACCATATCAGATGATGCAATGTACTTGGGGGAGGGGGTTCTGGGTTTAGTTTCCTGGTTTGTAAGGACTTCCCTCCCTCCCTGAACGAGTCATGAAGGCCCCGCCCTTGCCACAATCTCCATCACCTG